AATTGTTTGGGGTTCCCTCGCTGTTCTCTCGCTTTTCTCTATTTTTCTCAGAGATATATAAACAAAAAAAAAATAAATAAAAAGTAAAACATAAAAAACAACGCATTGAAAATAAAGTAATTCATTTCACACGGAATAAGTTTGAAAAGTTAATTGGCTTTACGTTGGCTTTTGACTGATTCTGACTATCTAGTTGTGAACTAAAAAAAATCTTAATATATTCGACTATTTAGATACTTTGCGCTTTTTTTAAAGAAATTACTCAAAAGGGAGAATTTTAGTTTTTTATGTAGACATTTATTTGAATTTAAATAAACTAAATTGTATTATACTTTTTTTGTATGTATTGTATTATTATAAAACAAGAAAGGAAAGCTAACTTCGGGCGGAGCCGAAGTTTATATACCCTTGCAGCTAAAACCGGATATATATCGCAAACATCGGATATAGTTGGCCGATCCTTATGGGAATAGGAATATATAATCCAATTTATTACAATACAAAATCTAAAAAAAGTCCCCAAAAGTTCTATCTTCAAAAATACGAAAGTTGATATTTCTACCAAATACCATTTCCGATCGTTCAGTTATATGGCATATAGGATATAGTCTATGGATATAGTCGGCCGATCCTAATGAAATTTTGTAGGTTGGATCAACTGGCCAAAACTAGAATCTGTATTAAATTCCAGCTTTCTATCTTCAAAAACACGAAAGTTGGGTCATTTCCGATCGTTCAGTTATATGGCAGCTATAAGATATAGTCGGCCGATCCTTATGAAATTTGGCATGACGTAGTGTTTTGCCAAAAATAGCTCTCATGTCAAATTTGAACTCTCTAACTCTAAAAACACCAAAGTTATACCATTTCCGATCAATCAGTTATATGGCAGCTATAAGATATAGTCGGCCGATCCGGGCCGTTCCGACTTATATACTGCGTGCAAAGGAAAGAAGGGTGTGTGCAAAGTTTCAAGACGATAGCTTCAAAACTGAGAGACTAGTTCGCGTAGAAACAGACAGACGGACAGACAGACGGACTGAACTTTGCACACACCCTTCTTTCCTTTGCACGCAGTATATAAGTCGGAACGGCCGAGATCGGCCGACTATATCCTATAGCTGCCATATAACTGAACGATCGGAAATGACCCAACTTTCGTGTTTTTGAAGATAGAAAGCTGGAACTTGGTACAGATTATATATTTGGTCAGTTGATCCGACCTACCAAATTTCATTAGGATCGGTCGACTATATCCTATAGCTGCCATATAACTGAACGATCGGAAATGGTATTTGGTAGAAATATCAACTTTCGTATTTTTGAAGATAGAAGTTTGGGACTTTTTTAGATTTTGTATTGTAATAAATTGGATTATATATTCCTATTCCCATAAGGATCGGCCAACTATATCCGATGTTTGCGATATATATCCGGTTTTAACTGCAAGGGTATGTCAACTTCGGCTCTGCCCGAAGTTAGCTTTGCTTTCTTGTTTTTCAAATAAAATAAACTGAAATCCCGCTGTATTAAAAATTCATTTAAACTTTTTCACTATTTTCTATTAGCTTTTTTTCTTTTTTGTTGGCATTTGTGAACTTTGGCTTGTATGGATTTAATCGCATTAGAGAAAATGCGCGATTTACACGGGATTTGTGAACTGAAGACCCAGGGAAAGGGCCTGCAAAGTTGTGCCGGGGCGGATAGAAATTGTATTATTGTTTTGCCACAAAATGAAGTTTATTTTTTCAACGATGCGACGCGATGCATGTGCAGAGTGCGGCTTATTGCATTATTGCATTTTGATTTCCCAGCGCTATTAGAACTATGTTAATTATGGTAATCTGTAATCTATTTGTTGTAATGCCCCCGAGGCCCAGAATTGTCGGATGATATTGTTTCCGTAATTGACTGCCGGACGGGAAACGGTGAATGTTGCAATTACGCCCACTGACCCGTATTTAATTAAATGTGCTAAGTGTTTTGGACTTTTTTTTTTATTGAATCATTAGTTGATTTTTTATTCATCTTTTGATAACTTTCTATCTCTATTATTTTAAGCATTTAAATTTTTATTATTTCTAAAAAAACTATCTAAAAACATATTCCGGTTGGTCTAATGGTATAACTATGATGATCCAAAAAAAACTGAAAAATGTCAATGTTTGCTTTATTTAATATTAGCAGTAAAATTAACTGGCTGCATTTTAATGTATTGACTGAAACCATAAGAAGCTAAGTTACAAAAGTTTCAAGCCATTCTACTTCTATGATACGACATACCACGTTTCATTAGGATAGGTCGCCTATATTGTAAAGATATTGAACGATCCGAAATGGCATTTGGTAAAAATACCAATATTGGATTTTTGAAGATGGATGTTTTGGACGTTTTTTTAAAGGTTTCAACTTAAAATTGGTTTTATAATAAAATTCTCATAACAATCAGCCAACTATATCCCATATTTGTGATTTATATCCTATCCTAACTGCAAGGGTATATCAACTTCGGCTCCCCCCTAATTTAAAGATTATAAATAATATAAAACATAAATAAAATTATTTTCAAATTTTATTATACCAAATACAAAATACATACATTAAACAAGAAAGGAAAGCTAACTTCGGGCGGAGCCGAAGTTTATATACCCTTGCAGCTAAAGTTGGGTCATTTCCGATCGTTCAGTTATATGGCAGCTATAGGATATAGTCGGCCGATCCTTATGAAATTTGGCATGTCGTATTATTTTGCCAAAAATAGCTCTCATGTCAAATTTGAACTCTCTAACTCTAAAAACACCAAAGTTATACCATTTCCGATCAATCAGTTATATGGCAGCTATAGGATATAGTCGGCCGATCCCGGCCGTTCCGACTTATATACTGCGTGCAAAGGAAAGAAGGGTGTGTGCAAAGTTTCAAGACGATAGCTTTAAAACTGAGAGACTAGTTTGCGTAGAAACAGACAGACGGACAGACGGACAGACGGACATGCTCATATCAACTCAGGAGGTGATCCTGATCAAGAATATATATACTTTATAGGGTCGGAGATGTCTCCTTCACTGCGTTGCACACTTTTGGACAAAATTATAATACCCTCTGCAAGGGTATAACAATATTGTCTTTACTTTATTTATATTGCTTATATTATATATTTGCTTTATCTTATTTGCTTTATTTGGATTATTTTTTTTAGTTTTCTTATGTTTTTTATTTTATTTATATTATTATTAATATTATAATAAACTTTCCACCACAGATTGATCTTCAGCTTGTAAAACTTTCACTTTAAAACTAACATAAACAATCCATATTGTAAATAAACTGATCAAGCTGATTGATTAATGAGTAATATCCGCATTGAAATTAGCAGAAACTGTAACTGGAACGGCTTTATTGCAACTTTTCCTTATGTTTCCCGCCATTAGCATAAAACGCCAAGGTTCTAGTCTCTGGGCTTTAAAAAATTTCATTGGCAGAAAATTGAAACCGGCTCGAGAATGGGATTCGGTTAGAGCTAGTTCGTACTAGTTTGAAAACAAAAGCTTCAACTATAGGCTGTCAGTTAGAGACCCCCATCCTAGGGGATCTATACATATATCTAGAAACTGTAAAGGTAAATATGTGGGCAAACAAAACGTGACAAATTTAATTGGGGATATGGATATGGATATGGTGAGATGTGCCCATCTACCCAGAGGTGCCCAGAACATACGTCCACGTCCGCACGCGAGTGTTCCGCCAACATTTTTTGGCCAGAGGGAGATCGAACTCGAACTCGAACTGGAACCGAAAAATAAATGCATTTTTGCAATTTTGTGAATGAGTGAGGGATATGGTTTAGCGAGAAAGCGAGATGTGGCGATGATAAAGCGAAAATTCGTGTTTGCCGCCCATCGTGACAATGCAGGCAATGATTAGCCAGCGAGGCAGGCCAACCCAACCGGCCGGACAGACAGACAGCTACTATAATAACCAAAAAGCTGGAAAAACGTAGTACGGAAAATGGAAAACAATGGCTGGGAATACGGGGAAAATGCCGGGTGCAAAACGTGAGCAACAAACAAAACAAAGTTTGCAAATTGAATTTTTCAAATGGCGATTGCTGGGGAGTTGTACCAAAATCGGCTCCCCTCCCGAGTTTTGTTCAATTTGTAATTGCGAAAATTACACGACAACGGCAAATGGAGAATAAATATGTCTCACCCATATGATATACATAACTGTTTCTACACTTGATAAATAATTAATAAAAACAAAATAAATAAAAAATAATAATAAAATAAAAATAAAAAAATTATAAAACTAATAGAAAAAAAATAATGAAAATAACAAAGAGAAAACAAATATTAATTATAATAATACTTATGTTAGGTACATGTTGGGTACAGTATTTATTATTTGGTTCGTTGATTGTAAATTTATTATAAATCATATTTTATGCATTGGAAAATTGTTAAAAAAAAAAAAAAAAAAAAAATAAAAAAAGTTAAAATACTAACCAAAAAAAAAATTATTAGCTCGTTAAAAAGTTAATTAAATATGCTTTACAAGCAAATGGGAACATTTATTGTTAAACCAAAAATTAAAAAAAGTCTAAATCTATTTTTTAGAGGTTTTTTAATGTAATTGAATAATATTTTTTTTAATTGATTTTTAAGGCAATTATTACGAATAATAATTTAAATCATTGAGAAAATCACATATTATAGAAATAAAATATTTTTAGAGCTACTACAAGCTTTTCACTAAATTATTTAATTAATTTTGTTTGAAAAAAGTATCGTTTTCCGATTTAAAAACCAATTATTTAAAAGTTTTAGGTAATAAAATCATAATATAACTCTATAAACCTTAATTTTTATACAAGTAACATAAATTATATACAATTTTAAAAATCTGTGAAACCTAAAATCATTTAAAATTACAATTTTCACAATTCCCTATCACCATTCAATCAAATCTTTGAGTCTCTCGTATTTTCGCTCAGTGTGTACCTGCTTGACGTGGTCGCGCCTCTCGAACTGTATGCCCCCGGGGTTGTGATCGGCGATGCCCATCAGGTGCGGTGGCATGGAAGTCGTAGAGCTGGCAGATCTATTTACTGCCGGGCCACTGCTTGCCGGCTCGAAGTGCTCGTCCTCGCTGCTGCCGTCGGGCATGCTGGGCTGCTGCTGCATCAGCGGCGACGCAGCCGGCAGGGATATGGAGTCCACGTTGCCCTCCATCAGAGCCTCGGCGGCCTGCAGAATCGGTGGCGCAGAATTTTGCCCGCCACTGTATGGATCCGGATAGCCGGGCGAACTGCTTGACGAACTGCTTGCTCGGGGGCTGTTTAAAACGCCGGCACTCGCGCTGTTTAAACCGCTCTCATTGCTTGGCCGATTATTTAGGCCGATTTCAATGACAATTTTGTTAGATTGCTGCTGCTGCTGTTGTTGTTGTTGCTGCTGCTGCTGTTGCATCTGCAACTGCTGCATCTGACGCTGGAGGTTTTTGGGATGGGTGGCCGCCTGAATGTAGTTGAGATCGCTGCGGGACAAGTGGTGCTGCTGCAGCGTCGAGTACTGCTGCTCGACGAGGGCGGCGCGTGTCTGTGCCGCCTGGTGGCCGCCATTGGCCGCCGCCGAATCGCTTGCGACTTTTTCCCTCAGCTTGACGATGTTCGAAATGTTAATGCTATTCGTTAATGTGATGCCCGTTATGCAGACCAGTATGATGGTCAGCACGACGCCGCAGATGACAAGGGTGGGCATTCGGAAGCATTTCCGGCTGCACATGGTCCTCCTTTGCTTGGCTTTTATGGTAAAAAACGCATTCAAATCGCGTCTGGCTTTGGCTTTAACAAATCAAAGAATTCCAAAATAAAATCACAAAAAAATAATTGGCTCTAACTCGTTTAAAGTTCAGCGAATGGGTTTGCTTTCGTATGATAAGTCGCCCGCGATCGTAGCGCGTTCTTTGCGCGTTTCGCTCTGCTCGTCTGTGCAGCTGAAACGCGAATGCAGTGCCGTTAAAGTCGCATGCAAGTCGCTTGGCTAATGCAGTCGTCTGCGGCTTCCCTTGGCTCTCACTGCTTGCTTACTGCCGCGCACTCTCTCTCTCTCGCTCCCACGCTGTTTATGTCGTTCACCTTGAGAGAGAACACCGCTGCCTCAGCTGACGCCGCTGAAGCTGCGCAGCTGGGCCAAGCGGATTTGCATGATGAATTGTTGTTGTTGTTGCTGTTTGTCTTATTTATTTTAAATTTACTTTTATATTTATTTATTTTTTTTTATAGAAAAGTTTTTATTTGTTTTTCGTGAATAATAGTTGCCAGATTTTTTTACGGTTGAATTATTATTATTTTTTTTTTTTGTAGTTTTGGTTGTTGTTGGTTGTCCTTATATATTCAGATTTACTTTTATATTTATTAATTTAAATAGTGTTTGTTTTACAGTGAGACTTTTTATTTTTTTTTATTAAAGCAGAGATTATATTAAAAATAGTTTCAAGAAATCGGTTTAAGGTTTATTGTTGAATTCTATTATTGTAGTATTGAACTCTTTATTGTTCCTTAATTTTTTGTATTTTTAATAATTTTTATACTTATTTGTTATTTTATTACAGTTTTATTTTTTTATTTTTAGGTGAATAATAACCTTTTTAGCCTCTTTGTTGTTGAAGTTAGTTTTTAACTTTATATTGTTTTTTTATTTATTTTTTTTAGTATTTTCATTTTGTTTGTTGAACTTTTGTTATGTTCAATTTTTTTTAAACATTTTATCCTATTTTTTTTACAAAAAAAAACATATATTTATTTTATTTTTATTGGAATAATTATATTGAATTTTTTGATGTTGAACTTTTTCTATTTCCTAATTAAATTCACTTTTTTTCAAAATACACAAAAAACACACTGAAAAACAAACAACAACAAAAATCGTAACAAAAATGCAGCTCGTAAAATTTTTAATTTGATCTTACAGGTGCTGTTGCTGTTTTTGGAGGTGTGTCGCGAATTTATTTTTAAGTATTTTATTCATTCGGAATTCTGACCAAAAATATCTCTGAAGTTGAAAGAGCAAAAGCGAGGAAATGTATCTCAAGATTAAGAATGGGGATTTATCCACATCCCTAACGTTCTCTTAATTAATTTCTATTGCATCTTCATTAATCTATCGATTTTATTAACTTATAATTCGCCTCGCATAATGTTAATGAAATGTTAGCCACACCTTTCTCTTTTTTCTATACACATTCCCCCATCCATTCCTATTTTCTGAGCTGTTCAACCTTGACTATCCGAGGCTCTCACTTTCTATATGCGGTAATGCGTACCCTATTATACCAAAAGCTTAGACGGGAAAAATATACTCTTTTGTAGTGTCAGCTTCATGCTCTAAGAAACAGAATTTTTCGCTTAAGATTTTGAAAATAATCGATGGATACTCGATACATTTAAAATTTTATTTTATAGTTTCATTAGGCAGTTTTATTTAATAGAAACTATAACTAATTGAACCCCAATTTCATACAAGACAGGCTATAGTTGGTAGTAAAAACATCAAGTATAAGACTCTATGAAATTCCAATCGATAAATTATCGATGTATTTTATTTTCATGTAAAAATAATCTTAATAGCCTATAAGTACCAATTAGTTCTTCAAACACATATTAATACAAAGGAGAATTTAAGCTTGGTAATACGAATTCCAAATTTAAGCTCTTATGAACCATTTATCGATAAAATATCGATATTTTTTCCTTTATCTAATACAGAGTGTTTCAAGTTCTTTGTGATTTTTTTTTCTGCTTCTGTTTTCGTCGCTTTTGTGCCTTTGTGTGGAATTTCTTTTCCTTTTTTCGGAGGAGGATTTAAGCATTCATTTCATGGGATCTGCACACGCGTCTTTGGTGTTTGGGGGCGAAAATTCCGGATGGATTTTGGGGGCCGGCAAGGGGACACTTTGCGGATTTAATTGAGCCGACACGCACGCCCACACACACAGAGCAGCGACACAACCAATGGAGACTTGCGTGTGTTTGATGAACGAAAGAAATTTCATTTAATTGCATATTAACGCCTGTTGCCTAGACGAATTCCCATCTTTTATTTCCATGTGCCTTAGACTTTCTTTTGTTTTTTGGTCTAACCCTTAAATAGGCTGTATTTTTTTTTCGTCGCTATTTGTTTCAATTAATGAAGCTGCGTCTTTGTCGCTTAATTAATTCCCAAACAAAAAAAAAACAGAAAAGGGCTCTCGACACATTTTCGGGTCTGATGGTTTGTGGAGGTATATTGGCGCTTTTTGGGCATTAACGGATTACATTTTCAATTAAACATGTTGAGGCATTTCAATTAGTCGCAATTTGTGACAAATTGCTGGGCATGTGATTAGACGAAAACCATCGGAGTAGATACTAAGTGGATTTGACTTTGGAATTAACTTGTGGATTACGTTTGATTTCAAATTTAAAGCAGAATGGTCAGGGCTTTAAATATTTATTTAAAATCGAAATGAAGCTAATATATGAAGCAAGCTTGCATTCTTGGTAAATTGCAAAGTAACTACATACATCCATCAAGTATAAGAATGGAAGAAATACCAAAAAAAAGCAAGGGGGATAAAGAACCTGCAGCTGCAAGTGAAGATACACGTACTATAAGATGCGCCGCAATCTTTGGCGTTTCATCTTAATTATTTTCAACAGCTTTTCATAAAATTGCGGCTCAAGGCAAACAGCAAACAGATTGCATTACAACAAGTTGCAGTCGAGTCGTGCAGGAGCGAGCGGGATGGCCTCGCCTCGAGTGAAAGAGACGGCTGGTGCGGCAGTGAGAGAGATAGGAAGTGTTGTACATTTGATAATCGAGACGGCAGGAAGATGGCGGCGAGGCGATGGCAAACTTTATTAAATTTACGCAAGTAAATTGCAATTTATTCCCAGCTCCCTTACCTTTTCTCCCCACCCCCCACTCCGTTGGCTTTCTCTTCCTTTTATTATTCACCCTATTCCCTGGTTAACCCCCCCCTCCCCTCCCCCAACTTTTCTGTTCGCCAGAGTCGTCTTAAATTGGATGAGGCGTGCAACGGTGCGTATGCGTAATGGCCAAAGGGTTGACCAGAATAAAAAAAAAAGTTGAGTGCTAAAAAATTAATAATAAAGTGGTTCACTTTAAAAAAAATTATAATGATTTCTATTTAATTTTATATTTATTGTTTGAATTTTTTATTAGCTTATTTTTCAATTTCCAAAAATATACCAAAAGTAGGACTTAGGATTTTTAGAGCTTTTTTTACGATCTTGCGAAATTTTTAGAATTTAAGTTATAGTGTAAGTCTGCATTTTATAGTTAAGCTCTGTTTAACATTTAAAATCCCTTACTATAATACAAAAATGTTGCTAAGAAATGTTCAAAGAAACTTTTCAAAATATTTAACAATTGGATGTGTTTTAGAAATTGTTTTGATAAAAAGAAATGCCTCGATAATCTTATTAACTTTCTAAGCATTAAAGCTTACACCTCCTCACTATCTTACAAAACCAAAATATTTTTTGATACAATTTAAAGTCAATGGTATTGCATTATTAAATTAGACAGAAATCAATTAGCACTTCCTTTTTTATGCTTCCTCTTAAGGACGGATTTAATAAACAATTAATTAAACAACAAAAAAAAATAATAATAAGGAAACCAAATTTTAAAAAATAAAACTGAATTAATAAAAGAAGAATTCAATTTAAATAAATGAAATTTATGTAGTAATATGAATTCCTTTAAGTAGTTCACAAACACAAACTTGCAAATTAAGTTAACCATAAAACCCTTCTTTTCAGTCTTTTATACCCATACCATTCTCACTTAGCATTTACTTAATTAATGCCTACTTTAATACCAAATTTGTTTATGGCTTGGCCCTTTTTAGTCAATATTCAGCTTGGTTGATTATGGCTGTATTTTATTTTCCTTTGCCTGTTTTTGGGTTGCAGAGCCACCAAATTGGGCTTATTGCAACGGTCACTTGCCACAGCTGCAGCTTTGCATTTTTCACCAAAACATTTCCCTTTCCCCCTTTCCCCGAAATTTTTACGTTTTCCTTATTTTTTATTTGTACCCTGCCTGAACGCATTATTTTGTCATTTGCATTTGGCTCTGAGAAGCAAAAAAAAAATGTGTTTTTCATTTCGAAGCACGTCGAGGCTTTGGATTTCTATTTTTTTAGTATTTTTTTTGTGCTGCCTTTCCTGCTACTGCTCTGCCGGGGTTTCTGCTTTGTTCCTTCTGCCCCGAAGGCTGGGCAGATGTTTTCCTTTGGCTGCACTTCCCCAGCCCCAGAAGAGGGAAAAATTCAAATCCCAAATCCAATCCCAAGGCTCTTTTTCAGAGCATCGGTGTCCTTGGGCCAAGTCGAAGTTGCGGAGGCTTGGCTTTCTTCCTTCTTCGTTTTTTTTTGTTCCCCTCCCATTTTGGCCTGTCAAATTCCGTACAAATCGAGTTAACTTCTCGGCGCCGAAACACGAAAAGAAACACAAATTCTCATTCTGTATGCAGCCTTTGAAACGGAGAGATGCCACACTAACTAGCCAACTAACGGACTATTTTTCTCATTAGTTGTTCGGATGTAACTAGCTAATTGATTCTTTTACATTAGTACAATTATTATAAAAAATTAAATAAATTAATTAAATAATAAATTAAATTATTTAAGAAATAAAGTTTATAAAACTTGTCTCTGATACATGCATTGATTTAAACTTCAAAAAACCTACTTATAATCCGTACCATGATACAATTATATATGATCATGATCCGTACAATAATAAAGAAATTTCTTCCAACCGATATATCGATATGTGTAAATATTTTTTACAATTTTACAAGTTTAAATATATCGATAAAGTATTTCGTGTCATATATTTGAATAACTATGATACGCTCCTAAAAAAACTATTCTCGAAACTTTTCAAAAATCCAAGCATAAAAAATACATGTTTATAATTCATTATTTTACTTATACTTCTTTCTTTTAATATTTTTATAATAATTTTATTCTTCTTGATAATAATCGATTTAAAAAAACAAAAAAGGAATGAAAAATATCGATATATTCTTAAAATATTGATTTTTTGGTTATTTACTCAATCAATAATGAAATTGAATATTTACAACAAATAAATATTTACAATTATCTAAGTTATCAAAAAAATATCGAGCTTTAATCGCAATAT